ACATAAAATCGAATGTCTAAATACTCATCATTGTGCGTTTATTTCAATATAGATTTTAGGTAAAAACACACAAAAAAAATGAATAAAAACTGTTGCTTTTAGTAACACACATCTCACATACTAAATTGCTTCAACTTCTAAATATTAAGACCGAACAGCATCTCATATTAACACAGAACAGCATCTCATATTAACACTAGTGGTAGCTATCTATCTAATATATGTTTAGCAATCTGTCATTTTGCGTTTGAAGCTCTTAAAGCTTGAGCGCGCGTGGCAACATCTGCCGGGACTTTGACACGCAACAGGAATCCGCTCTGGCCGTTCGCGCGCTCCTAGCTGTCAGTTGGTTTCTCCGTGCACGCGCCTCTGCGTCCTGTGACTAATTGGCAGCTGTGAGGACTAGTGTCGCACTAAAGAAATAACATCAACACAGAGACAGGCAGCGGCGACCGTTCGCTCTGACGTTTATAAAAGCTGGTATATAAAAAAGACCAAGTTTTAAATTTAGAATGAACTCACAGAGAGAAAGAAGCTCCAGTTGTGTTGCCTCCCCGAAGCTTTTTTTTCCTCCCACTTCACTGTCCGTTTCTGCTTCCAGCACGCCACTGACCTGTACTCCGACAGCGGCTGGATTTCTACGCCACTCCCGTTTTAATCAATCTCTTCCAGGTTTCCTCTTACCTCCCTTTTCTGTACTTGTTCTGGTTATTTCCTACCTTTTCAGTCCCTCTATCTTTGGCTGGCATCAGTTCTCCCGGCGTGGAGTGGAAGTGCAGTGGAGCGCAGTGGGCGGGCAGGCGGGCTTCGGAGCTGTCCACTTGACGGTCCGATCCCTCCCATGTTGGCATGACCCCCAGGATGAGCTCATGCACGAAAACATTACGCAGGCAGTCGATATAAATACTTTAATTTCTACTTCTCCTTTACTTAATTCAGTTTGACCATTAATAACATTTATTGTTGCTATGCAAAAAGTCTGAACCCCAAAAAAGCCCTCTTCAGTACCTTTGAAGGCCTGATGCCAGATTTCCAGCACAACACTACCAGTGCAAAGAAACATAACAGACTACTGACCACAGAAAGAGAAAAAGTCACACATTAACAGTTTTATCTCATAACAGGTATCCTTTTGAAGATTAGCCCTGATACTGGATAAAAACAAAGAACCACTGTCACTTTTCAGCTTGTTGCTCCAGCATGCCTTCCTCAAATAGACCTGTCCAAATAATTGCAATTTCCAGTTCAGAAAAGAGATTTTAAAACATTTGCAAACAGCACTAATATCATATTAATTCTGATTAAACATATAACAAAAGTGAGTTGGTTATCACAAATGCTGTCACTGAGGCACAAAAATATTTATTAAAAAAATAGTGCAGTTCTAGATAAACTTTGTTTTTCAGTTAAAGACAAATTCACAATAAACTAAAGGTTATGAAACCTGTTTATAAAATTTAGTGGAGTTTGCTTGTTTAAATAATTCCAGCCTTGAAAGACACAGGTTTCACAACATGAACGTAACTTCTTACTGCATTGTATTCTGCCTTATAGTTCTGTCTTAACAATTTTATTAAACAATAATTTGTTTTATAAGACAGTAGTTCTGGAATTATTCTAGCGTTACTTATAGTGTTTTATTGCCTGATCCTTAGCCTGCCTATCCCTGTTCTGATCTGTTTGCCTGACCTGTCTTCAGATTGCTGCTGGTTTCAATTTGTGGACTGTACCTGGATCTGTCTCATAACTTTGCCCTCTGGTTTATCCTGCCGTTCCGTCGGATCTGATCTCCTGTCAGTTCTGTGATCTTCAAGACATCGGTGTCTGGAACTCTGTGCAGCTACAGCTGCGTCTGGTCAGCTGACTGGCTGGCATCCACCTCATTCTCTTGGCACAAACAGTTCTCTAAACCAGGTTAGTGACTCACACGTTCAGATCATCCTCTGTCAGGTTTTCGTGATCACTAACCTGTGTTTCCTCACTCCAGAGTTACTGCTGATTCGCAGTCTGTCCGTAATAAACGATTTTTGAGTATCCAACTATCTGCCTTGTCTGAATACTGGTTCCTCTGTTCTGAGCTGTGACATAAAGTTGCTAATTTGTGTAAATTTAAAAGATCTGTGTAAACTAATTATTTTATTTAATATAATCTTCTTCATGTTTCCCAATTTTATATTCTTTTTAAGGGCTTTTGAGCTGCTCTTTGATTTTGGGAACCCTGCCAGGGGCATTAAAACACCTGACAGCATAGCCTCTTGCATCATCCAGGTAATGAAACGCCTCCACCACGTTAAGGTGCCATTTTAAGGAGGGTTCAAATGGATTCTGGCAAACAATCCGACGCCCTACAGAGGGAGAAGCAGTACTTTGCTTACACTATTTCAAGTGGGAGTTGAGACCTTCTGACCCCGAATGATAACATTGTGGAACGGTGAATGGAACAGTTTTAGGATCCCCTCAATCTGGCTGATGGGACCTCCATGGTGGAAGAAGAGATGGGTGCTTGGGACCGGATTTGTTCATTACCCAGGCAGAAGCCTCTGATGTGGTCAAATATCTCCATGGTGGCAAAGCTTTGTGGGTCGATGAGATTTACCCCACTCTTACCTAACTCGGGCTGTTGTGGCCGACCCACCTCTTCAAGATTGTGTGGAGATTCGGAACAGTGTCTGTGGACTGGCAGAGTGGGGTGGTGGTTCCCCTCCATAGGAAGGGGGACCAGAGGTTTTGTTATTACTAAAGGGGGATCACACTTCTGAGACTCTCTGGCCTAGGCCATGGCTTTGGACTCAATTCCGGCACATGCTGAACTAGTACAGGGCTGCCCTCTGTCATAAGCGAACCAGTTCAGAACCCTTATAGAAAATGCTATTTGAAGATGACATGTATGTGCTGGCTCCCTCCTGCCAAGATTTACTGCCTACACCGGGGCAGTTCACAGCTGACAGTAATTCAGCCGGAATGAGAATTAGCTCCTCCAAGTCCAAGGCCATGGTACTCAACTGTAAAAAGGTGGCTTGCCCTTATCAGGTTGGGGAAGAGTTTGTGCCTCAAATGGAGGTGTTTAAGTATCTTGGGTTCCTGTTAACAAGTGAGTGGAGAATGAAGCAGGAGATCAAAAGACAGATTATTGCAACTGCTGCAATAATGCAGACACTGCATCAGTCTGTTGTGGTGAAGGAGGAACTGAGAAGAAGGCAAAGGTCTCAATTTACCAGTCGGTCTACGTTCCTACCCTCATCTATGGTCAGGAAATCTGGATCATTACCAAGAAAAAAAAAAAGGACAGAAGTGGATGAAATTAGCTTTCTCACACAGTGGATGAGCACTCCCTTAGAGATAGGTTGAGAGGACTCAGTTGAGGCGGCTCAGACATCTTTTTCAGATTACCCCTGGACACCTCCCTTGGAAGGTTTTCCAGGCACGTCCCACCAGGAGAAGGCCCAGGCTACAACCTAGGACAAGACATAGAAACTTTGTCTCTCAGTTGGCCTGGGAGTGCCTTGGGATTTTCCAAGCAGAGCTGAATGAGGTGTCTACAGAGAGGGAAGTCTGGGAGTCTCTGCTGAGACTGCTTCCCCGCGACCCGGTCCAGGATAAAGAGGATGACGAGTATGAGAACCTGTAATGCATTCTATGTAGGTCATAATACGACATTTCAATTAAAGAATTGTCAAAGGCTTGGTGTATTCTTGATGCCTACGCACAGTTTGCATCGCCAAAATACGTCATTCTCCTGTTGACAGAATTTCCGCACTGCACATCTGGGAAAATGTGTAACTATGCAGACAGATCCGCGCGGAAAACATGGCGAGCGAGCTGCAGCTCCTGTTTGCGGGGTTTCGCAAATGTAAATATCTAGAGACATACTATGATTTAGCACATAAACATCAACACCATCAATAGATTGTGGAAAAAACTTCTGGAAAGAAATGACTTTCCCTCTCAAACGGCATAAAGAGGCTTTGATAAAGTTGTAAATGGCAGCGTTTTCTAATTCCTCATTTAGTGCTGTGTTGTCAGCCTGCTGAAAGCCGCACAGACTATAAATGCTGCAGACGCTTTGACGTGAGGCTTATATTCTATGCAGAATGTCCGTCCATCAAGCATAATGAGCCTTTAAGAGGTAAATGTCCAATTAAACTGGGCCAGCTTAGCAATTTCCATTTATTTTACTTAAACTAGAAGGGCCTGTGTGTCAAACTATACATTTATATTTTTCTTCTGAGATTATTGCAGTGTACTTTTTACTTATTATGAAGTACAAAAAAACCTTGAATATAAGCATAACATGAATAAATACTGCTCCACTCCTCTGAAAAAAAAAAAAAAACATGACTCATGCATTATAACCTTACACTGAGTACCTTTTTCTTTAAAAAAAAGAAACTCATTTTAATATTTTACTTGGAGGTCTTTGAACAGTCAAGCTCCTTGGTGCAATTCTGCTCCTTTAAAACTGATGTTTTTAGGACTGTAAACTGGTTATACTAAAGGGTGTTTTGCCCCTTCCTGTTCCCACATAATCAAGAACCAATGCACAACCCATAAAGAAAATGATGCATAAGTTTAATGTGGACAAACCTGGCTGGGATACACAGAATCCTGAGCTAAACCCTTGTTCCCAAACAACAGTCAATAATGCATCCTGTAATGTCGTCAGTGGGGAAAAAATGCCAGGAAAAGAAGCTGTGAATTGGTTTACAAGAGGTAATCTAAACACTTTGTCTGGCTAATAAATGTTGCAGCAAACCTTCTCCTAGCACGCTGCATTCAGTACCTCTCCACTTGCTCCCTTCTAAAACATCCAATATGCATATTTCCAGAAGTCATCCCACTGAAAAATGATCAACAACCTTGTCTTCTTGCTTGAAATATCATATCCCCACTTTGGGTTTTCAGTATTGCATATAGATGAACACTAGAACAGTGCCCAGCAGGTGATTACAAAGTAGGCATGTTTGGCATTACAGCACAGCAGCAGACAAAAAAAAAACCTTTGAAGGAACCAGGATCTCGTCTGTCTACCCTTTACTTTTTTCTGACAGTGTGTTTGGATGTAGCAGAGGAAAACTACCCTGTTTGGTTATCTGTCCAGGCCTTTTTACAACTGCCCCTCATCTGCCTTGTTGATTTAATCACACAGACCAACCAATTCCAGGAAAACAGGTGTTTGGACGTTAGCAGCTCGTTTGTTCTGTTAATAATAAAACAAAAACATTTCAGTTCCACAAATTAAACCAGCACCACTTTTCTTTCCTTAAGCTGTGTCGTCGCTTTCACCATGAGGATCATATGTTTTTTCCCACCAATTTTAATGCATCACCTGAGTAATGTTAGCCTTTTCAAGTCCACCCTCTCTTTCTCTATTCCTGATTAAAAATGGTTATGCAGTGAGTGAAAGGTCGCAAGTTGTTATGGAAACAAGGCTGCTAACAAAAGCTGGACACATGGGTACAGAAAGTGGGGAGAGGGGAAAAAACAGAGAGGGAGATGTGCCTGAATAAATATGCAAAGAGGAGGACAGGGGCATGGAAAAAACAAAAAAACAAAACAGCAAGAGGTTTGAATAAATAAAAACATATGTGGAGAGAGAGGAGGAGGAAAAGGGAGAATGCCAGGTCTCCGAATGATGGCTCCATCTGCAATAATGAATAACAAAAGATAAGCCTGGGTTTTATCATTCTGGGAAGCAGATTTTGGAACAAAGGTGTGTAGTCCACTTTGACAGTGGGAGAATGCAACAGATAATAAGCGCGCCGCAGCTCGGAGA